TTGAACTAAATAGTGAAAATACGTTTTCAACAGAGAGAAGCAAAATTAAAACAATGAAGAAGACTAAAGAGTTCCAATACCTCGTTCATTTCTCTAAACTCCTCAAGCTCTTTCAAGCTACTCTGTAATAGCATCATGTCAGAATTCTTACTTTCAATCGCGGACTCAGCACTATCCAAGTCTTGACTCTTGAGTAATGACTTCAAGCTTATTTTCAAGTTCAGAGACTCGAAGCTTTAACACCTTTTTTTCTTGTTCATATCTCTTTTGATGAATTTCAACCTAAAATATTGATGTCAACGATACGCAAGCATTTGCAACTTCTCAATTACAGAATCTCAACCCCAATTTTAACGAAATAAAAAATGAATGATGCAGAAACTACTCTAGATCTTGGTTCTATGTATAGCGGGTCACCAGTAATCACCACAAGAACAGACCCCCTTACTAAAGTGATGGAATCTGCTTGAATCCCTTACAGTTATCTCCCTCTTTACAATCTTCGATATAAGTTTTATTGCAGCATGGCAATCCCTGCAGGCCCTCAAGTTTTTCATTACAACAATCGGACACCCTTCTGGTGTACTGATCAGAGCAAATGCGACAGCTAAACGTTCACTGTGGTACTTAAGAGACTCAATCTTCATCTGCTCATCTATGTCTTGTACTACGGAACTTGTGTCAGGTTTGTACCCTTCTCTCTCAATTTCAGCTGTCAATTCATTGATCTTCCTCACTATCTCATCACCTTTTGGGTGTGTATGGTCATTCGATGAGAACAGGTGAATCTTGTGATTCACTTCAACCCAGCTATAAGCCGGAACCTTTTTTATTCCGCGTTCGCGCATTGCCTTCTTCACATGCCTAACGCTTTCCCATTTCCCAGCTGCTGCATAGATGTTGGACATGCTTACATAAGCAGCAGCGTCCCTAAGCTTCTCCATACTGAAGAGCTTCTCTGCTGCTCTCTCAGCAAGGCTGTGATTCTTGTGAATCCGACATGAGTTCAGCACTGACGACCACATAATTTCATCTGCCTCAAAGGGCATTTCGTCCATCAACTTCTCTGCTTCAGTAAATCTTCCGTTTCTGCCAAGCAAATCCAACATGCATGCATAATGTTTCCTTGTTGGAGTTATCCCATAGATCGTAGACATTGCCTGAAAATATTCTGTTCCTTGTTCAACAAGTCCACAGTGACTACATGCAGTCAAGACGCCTAAGATGCTGACTGAATCTGGCTGGAGACCTGATTGCATCATCGTTGTGAACGCACCAATTGCTGCTTCTCCATCTCCGTTATCAGCGTATGCTGAAATCAAAGCATTCCAGGAAACTGCATTTCTATCAGGCATCTCTGCGAATACTTGAACTGCATCTTTGATAGAACCACATTTGGCGTACATATCAACCAAACCACTTCCGGAGAACACATTTTCCAAGTTCCCTGACCTGATTATGAATCCGTGGAGTTGTTTCCCCAGCAACAAAGAAGCGAAACTAGCGCAAGCTTTTAACACAGTAGCAAAAGTTGATTGGTCTGCTCGTAAATTAGCTCCTCGCATCTTGGTGAACAACTTAAGGCCAGCTTCATGAAGCCCTGTATGTACGAGACCTGAGATCAAGGCAGTCCAGGAAACAGTGCTCTGTTGTGATAAACTCTTGAAGATGAATTCAGCTTCCTTGAACATTTCACATCTTGCGTACATATCTACTAAAGAATTCCCGACATGAAGGATTGAATCAGCCGTTGCCAGAATGGCCTGGCAGTGAACTTGTCGGCCCATCTGCAAGGATGACAGGTTAGCTGCAATGCTCAGCACCGTCGCGAAAGGGAAGTTTCTGCGGTCAAACCCCATGCACTGCATTCCTCTGAACAATGTCAAGGATTTGTCGTATTTCTCAGCCTGTGAATAGCATGAGATGACCACATTGTAAGAAACAAAGTCAAACTCAGGCATTTCATTAAAAAAATTCCAAGTTTCAAGAACACAATCATGTTTGGAGTAGAAATCAAGAATTTGATTCCCAACAGAGGCATCCCTGGAAAAACCAGTAGTAAGTGACAGGCCATGGAGTTGCTGACCGAGAGGAAAATCGTGAAGCCCAACAACTGCCTTGAGAACCCCAGAAAATGTAAAATCTGAAGGCTTGTGACCAGACTGCCGCATTTGAAGAAAGAGATGAATGGCCTCCATGTACAAACCATGCTTCTCATACCCTGTAATAAGGGTGTTGAACGTGACAGAGTCCTTGTCAAGAATCTCCTCGAACACCAGATAGGCCAAATCGAGTCGCCCTATCTCACAGTAAGACTTAATCAGAACATTGCAGACAGTGAGAAAGAGGTTCGTATCAAAGCCTAACTTGATTGCAAAAGCATGAACTTGACCCACCACATCCTGGGGAACAGCATCAGTGCAGGCAGGTAAAAGAGTGGTAAAGGTCACGTAATCAGGCAGAGTACAAGAGCTGCACATCTGACGGAAGAGCTTGAAAGCTTCATGAAAGTGATCGTTCCGGGCGTACCACCCCATCAAGATAGTCCACGTCACAACAGTTCTATGGGGCATTGCGTCAAATAGGTCTCGGGCGCTGGAAAGATCACCCGTCTTGATGTACCCAGAAATCATGGTATTGGTGGAGACAGTGTTCTTGTGAGGCATTTCGTCGTACAGGTTGCGTGCAGCAGAGACTTGACCTCTCCTAAGAAGGTTCTCGACGATGAAATTGGAGCGACAAGTATCTGTGTCGAAGCCAGTTTTAATGATGCGAGCATCAATACGTGTGTCGAGATATAACGGCCGTGACGGTTGTCGGAGCTGCCGTAAAGTAGCAAAAGTTTTTGAGCGGACTTCATTAGCGTTAGCCTTAGCCTTGCAATAATAACGTTTCATTAAGTAAGCAGCCAAACTTGAAATTTTGTTTGGTTCTTCTTGTTGGAATTGGTTCCTTGATTGAACCTGCAACAAGCCAACAACAAAAAGAAATCAGTGAAGAAACAATTAAAGAAGAGCTTCAAGCGTAGAAGAAGAAGTTAATGAATGACAAAGAAGAAGAGGACACAAGTCAACAAGGAAGTTGGGCTTGTGTTTTGTAATAAGGTTGTAATGGGCTGCAGATGAGTTAAGGCCCAAATTAAGAAGTCTTTGTCTTGTTCAAAGAAAACTAAGCTAAACTAGAGTTGTAAGCGTAATGTGTCAGTTAGTGTCGTCTAGCTGAGTGTTCTCCAAACCTAATATTTGGGAGTATGGGTTGTGTAAGCGTAATATTTGGAGAAGTGAACCTAATATTTGGGAGTATGGGTTGTGTAAGACTCTCATGATTAAGGATTTAATGGTAAGGTGTTAAGAGTAGCACGGAGATAAACCACTATATGTATGTGTGTTGTGTAAGAATCATCCAAGTGATCTAAAGATTAACAATGTAGTGTTTGGAGGAAAGCAGTTCTCGTGTCTCTCTAGAACAAAGAAACCAAATATGTATGAGAGATAGAAAATCTAAAAGAGATCTAAGTATCTAACCATAAGAGATTAGAAGTGAAGATTCCAACATGGTAGCAAGCTATATGATCCAGAAGCCTACATCAAGAAGAAGTAAGGTGAGGCTGTGAGAGGGAGAAGATGTTGTGGACTGAAAACAGTCCATGAAAGTTACCTCTGAGGTGGAGGAAGAAGAGAGAAGAGACTGGCCGTAAGAAGAAGACGGCAAGAAAGAAAGATGGAGAAAGCCATCAAAGAAAGAAGGGAGCCGTAAGAAATGGCGGCAAAAAGAAAATGAAGAAAAGAAGAGAGGTGCGGACCTGAAGCTTGGTGAGAAAGAGACCATGAGGATCCAACCCTGACAAAAGAGAGATCTTCTGGAAAAGAGCAATGGAGACAACGGTGTGAAGATGATATCTTGTTGAAGACAATTTCTGTTCTTGTTTGATGCGTCTTGGTGAAGATGCTTGTTGAGGTGGAGAAAATGAGTGGTTTTTCAGCTGAAACAAGAAGGAGAAGCCAAGGTTAGAAGACCGAAGTAGAGGTGAAGAATCAAACAAACCAAGTCCGAAAAAAGCGGAGGTTGATGATTCAAGAGCTTCGTAAGCTAAGGTTAAAAACCTAAGTGAAGATTCAAAGAGCCCAAATATCCAAAGCTAAAGCCAAAGTGATGATTCAATGAACTAGAGGGCACAAACTGAAGATGGAAAAGAAGAAGAAGCTCACCTAAAGAAAAAGGGAGCAGCCGAGCAAGAGACGTGACTGTGGTCACGGAAAAGACGTGGCAGAGCTCATGGAGAAGACTATAGCAAAGAAAATCGCACAAAAATGGGGGATAAACTAAATTCCAGAAGATTCAGATTAAGAGAGAGAAGGAGAAGAGCCAAGTTACCAAAGGAAGTGGTGGTGGTTCGTTCGATTGACCGAATGGGGAGTGAAGCCTCAGTTTAGTCGAAGAGAAAAGCTTGAATGAAGTCTGAGAAGAATTGGTGGTGAATAAAGAGATGCTCGTCACTCGTCAGATATGAGGTGAGGGCTGGGAGTTAATACCGGTTATGATGTGGCAGTTGAAGACGGCGGTGAATCCCTTTAATAAAGAATTAATTGAATTCGGGGTGAGAAGTCAGAAAAAAACAGAGTATGGGGTGGTGGAGAATATTATAAAATTGATAGTTTGTATGATAATCTTACAGAATTTGGTATTTAATGCAATTATGAAATTTTATACTTGGATTTCACAAGAACCATACTTTTTTCCCTCTACTTTGTTTCCGAGTGTAATTTTAAACTCACCACTGCAGAACCATGGTGTAAAACCAGAACTTATGTTTACCAGTAGCCTCAGACCTTGCTCACATCTCAGATGGCTCTTGGGCATTCTTAAATCCATATGATTGCACAGATGAGATTATTTATTGACCTTATAAGTGTATCCATTAATTTATCCTACTGACGATCTTCTGTTCCCTTAAATCCAGGCATCAATCCAAAACTTACATACAATCCTGTGTAAGTTCTTATGGTAAAGAAGCTAGGGAATATAGAAGATGTTTTCAATATCGAATATATAGAACACGGTTATTTGATATCCTACCTTAATTGCAGCTGTAGGATTTTATCCCCAATATATCTAATAGACTCTCTAACTGAAGCCTTCCATGTCGTTGGAGGAACTTCAACAGCAGCAGACTGCAAAATTTCATACACGAGGACAGAGACCCGTTCCCAATATGCTGGCACTAAGGTCGGGTAACTGAGAGCCACAACTTCTTTGCACAATATCTGGATTGGATGTTAATTAAATACTAAATTAACATCCAAGCAGGCAAGCACACCAGTTTTATCATTTTTTAAAGGAAACCCCTCATTAATCCTGGCATGGAGAGACAATATAACTTTTGGCAACAATTCTCCTGGCATTCTCGAGTAACTGAAAATGATAACAAACATGATACATTAACCATGGTTTTTGGTGTGGGTAGTGTCAAGTAACTATGGTTTGTTTAGGAGTTCTCACAGCCTCCATCTATATAAGATGTCTAAGAGAATTAGGAGAGGATTATCGAGTTTGTGGATTAATTCAGGTGAGAGGGAGGAGCTCCATTAACAAAATCCTCAATTCTTTTTGTAATTCACTAAAGTATCTATGAAATTTCAGTTACTTGTATCAAAACATTAAAGAACGCATGAAAATCTCATACAAGATCCCAAGTAGTTGCAAATTTTAACCCAAAAAAATAACATCAGATAAACAGAGCTGCGTCTACACACAACACACGTATTCATGAAGCTTTCGCGATACACTTACATAAAGGTGGTAAATCTTAATCAAGAGCTGTTAAGGATTTAATCTAATTTGTCGCATATATAAATTCGTCGACTTAGGGAAGCAATAGGAGGACCTGCACGAAAACCATATATAAATAGCCAACTAAGAAGATAAAGGGTAAGAAAGTTTATATCGTTGAAGTACCTGTGTGGAGTTGCATCAGTATTAGACCAAGGGAATTGGAGAGGGGCATAAAAGATACATATTTGGTGGATTTCTTATAGTCTGCCACATAAAGGAAAATAGATGAAGGCCCATCCATGGCAACTGGCAAGAGCTGACGCAGACACAATCCATACCTAGACGTTGCAAAATAAAACAAAAAAAGTATTATCAGGATTCAGCATTCAGGAAGTTGAGCTAGAAAAATATCTATATATATATATTTCCTTAACAATAAAAGATATTGAGAAGGTGAAATTGGAGAACAGAATCGAAATATGAGCCTCAATGACTTTAAAATGGACAAGAGTAACCACCTTCAAATGAGGATCAAAAAGCAAGCAGGTCAATAGAGTAGCTTCAAATTTCCTGTTAATGATCTCAGAAACTTAAGGAGACAAAAAAATATATATCGATATGGTGACAAAAAGATGTTGTATGTAAAATTTCCCACCTTGTTTTGAGTACATCACTGGTTGGAAATAGAGTCATCCACTGAGTGGTAAATGGCTTTGAATCAGCCTGGCAGAGATCCTTTACAGGGGAATAAGAAATTGAATTAGTAATTGTCACGGGATGATATGATAACAAAAACTCAGACACAGAAAATGCTCTACCAAAGATGTCAAAGGAAAGAGCCATGGAATCCCATAAGCTATTATGTTCAGGCAGAGTAGGAGGGTTTTGTGTTGACAAACCATACGATGAAACTAAATCCTACTTGACTAGATGAATGTGGTACACAGCGGCCAAACGTCTTGGGAAGAAAGAAAAAGATTACGAAGAAGGTTAAAACAACGTGAGCAAGACAAAACCAACCAGAGAGTGAGAGGATATAATAACCTTAAAGTCTCGAAGCATTGGATCACGGGTTCGATTCTGGAGAAATATGCAGTGGAATAGAGTGAAGTCATGTGTCGGCGAAGATGAAACTCCAATACACAAGTAAAAGAGTGAAGACTTTAGTTGCAGAAGTACAGGAGCAGAAACACCGTGAGCAGAGACAGGTATATCAGTTTTCCATATCGGGGAACGAGGATGGAAGCAGCGGGTGAAGAGAGCAGCTGCAGAGTCGCTGTTCTAGCTGCTGACTTTGGACCACAGCCACCAGCTCAATATATATAGTGTTTGGGCCTTAAGATGGGTTTCGGCCCATAACTTCAGCTCCAGCCCACTAAAATAAAGAGGTAATAGTCAATGCTTGTAATTCGATCGAGCGATAAGAAGAAACAAAAGTCTATCTGGGACGACTGGAAGGTTTTTTTTTTTTTTTTTTTTTTCTGTCGAGGAGGACTCTGCTGCGTCGCCGCCCAGTACTAAATCAATCAATCGGGCTCAGTAAACACAAAATCTAAGCAAGTTCGGAAAATGGAGGGACGTCGTCTGATTCTGGTATAGATCCATCCACCCCACAGGTTCGTCGATTCCATAACCTTGGATTTTATTCAAACCCATGAGTCCGTGTGGTCCATGTCTCTGAACTTTGGTATCAACCATCATACGGCTCTCAAACCCAACCTGTGGTGGATCTGCCGGAGCTAAATCTTATACTTGACTTCACTGCTTTTACTTCCAAAGTTACATACTCTCGTGCTATTTCGGTATCTAATAATAACCAACCAAGTTTTCAATCAAATCAAATCGGTCATATGACGGTCTTGGAGAAATCTTTCTTTCTATTACTATCTCTCTCGCGATTATTTATTTTCTGAGTGACATTTTCTAGCTTTGCAACAACTTATTACGTTCCCTTCAACGTTTATATCTTAGCCCTGATGGAAGCTGACAACGGAGGCACCAATTCTAGTCATGCTTCCAAACAACGTTTGCGTTGGACGCATGAGCTACATGAACGCTTCGTTGATGCCGTTGCTCAACTTGGTGGCCCTGATAGTAAGTTTCCTTTTTCTTTCTGACATTCCTTCTTTTGTATTTACTCAGTATGGTAATTTAGTACCTCATCGATATCTGTGGTAATTTTATGCACAACAATATGATTAAATTGCTGCTTAAATTATCCTTGTATGCCAACATGTTTACTAGTCATGGGAGGAAAAACCTATCTGTTTGGTTTAGGGTTTCTAAATATATTTCTTCTTTTGGTTTCCAAAGGAGCTACACCCAAAGGCGTTCTTAGAGTGATGGGTGTACAAGGATTAACTATATATCATGTCAAGAGTCACTTACAGGTATTCTCAAATGATTACAGTGTGTTGCCTTTTGTCTCTTCTCTCTTTCTTTTATCTGTGTATGGTATATTGGTATGCATCCCCAGTTTCTTCCACTTATGTTTGCAATTGTGTTTTTTTTTGTCAGAAATATCGACTTGCAAAGTATCTTCCAGATTCGTCTGCTGAAGGTTGGGTGGACATTGATTTCCTTCTCTTTTTCTCATTCTCCCAGTTGCCTCTTTACCTGAAACTAGTATTTTCTCGTTTTCAGGGAAAAAAATTGATAAAAAAGAATCTGGAGATATGCTCTCTGGGTTGGACGGCTCGTCGTACGTGAAATTTCATTCTTTTAGTTGATTTGTGATGCTATTACCTGGTGGTTTAGATTAAGTGATCAGTAACTTTTCGATTACAGTGGAATGCAGATAACTGAAGCCCTCAAGTTGCAGATGGAAGTTCAGAAACGATTGCACGAGCAACTAGAAGTATGCTTCACCATACTTAAAAGAAAGAAAAAGCAAAACGAAATAATTAGTCAGAATTTCAGTGGGGCATTATTAGCCAGCTAATTTGCGTTACATCTGACATTCTTTGATGTATTTTTAGGTGCAAAGACAGCTGCAACTACGGATAGAAGCACAAGGGAAGTACTTGAAGAAGATAATTGAAGAGCAACAACGACTCAGTGGAGTACTTGGCGAACCATCAGCCCCAGTAATAGGCGAATCAGATCCTGCAACCCCTGCCCCAACCTCTGAGTCTCCCCTTCAAGACAAGTCTGGCAAGGAATGTGGACCAGACAAGAGCCTCTCAGTTGATGAGTCTCTTTCATCTTATCGGGAGCCTTTGACACCAGACTCGGGGTGTAACATTGGGTCTCAGGATGAGAGCGGAGGGGAAGAGAGATCATCAAAGAAGCCTAGGTTGGTGAGAAGCGCTGCTGGTTATACACCTGATATAGTAGTGGCACACCCCATACTAGAATCCGGCTTGAACGCTTCTTACCATCAGTCAGACCATACCCTCGCCTTTGACCATCCATCTACATCGCTGCTTGGGGCTGAAGATCGATTGGACAAGGTTTCAGGAGACGATCTATGAGTTGTATCACGTGGCATCTGTAGTAGAGTTTACCACATGTAGTGTTCTGTCTATCCTTGTCCCTATTAGTTAGCAGTTTCTCTAGTGAGGCGATCACAATTCTCTAATTCTAGACACTGCCACTAGCATGAACAATGAATATATATCGTGTTGTGCTGTAATTTGATAAACACAAAAGAAAATTACTCTTATTCCCAACACACTGCTTTCGTCTAAAGCTACTTTTATAAAAGCAGTAACGTATGAGTACACAGTTTTGATAAGTTGGAAAAGGAAACTAAGACAATCTCCAATGTATTTTTCTTTTTTCTTTTTTACCAAAACAAAATTGTATTTTCTATTTCTTTAACCAAAAAAAAAATGTATTTTTCTTCTTTTTTTCATAGTGTATGAGGTACCATCCTGGCAAAGTTGTATTTTCTATTTTTTGAATAATGCATTACCACATAGCTTCCAAGTTTGGGTGACGAAACAACAGGCCAAATTGACAATGAAGAGGAAGAAAACAAACACATTTGAAAGCCATGAAAAAGGAAGCAACTCTCTGAGTATGGAGAAGATATAATCTTATTATGTTAAGAACACTCATTCATGCCACTCGATCTTAGAAATGTTAGAATATGTTAGAATGATTCACAATTTTCGGCAGATAAATGGTAGGACACAAAGAGGAGAAACAAACTCAAGAAACATCTAAACTGGCTATGTTGCTCTTACAGGTTTTGGCATTGTGTAACCAAGATCAATCAGCTTTCTGATCAACAATTTCTCAGCTTTAGCCTACACAAACAAAAAAATGTGTATTATCTAAGTAAAACTTGTTTCTTTCTCAATTCTATAAGGCAATTAAAAAAAAAAACGAAAGAACGAACCTCGAGCAAGGGATTGTTCTTAGGGATGTTGCAAGCCAGTATTATATTGAGACCAGTCTTCAACACTAGAATACACAAGAAAACCAGAGAATTTATATCTGTATCATCAAGAAAGAGAAGGATTTGAAATTGCAGTCAAATTCTAACCTAATCTACGCGCAATGCCAGATCCAGTGTTATCAGATGAACCACCAAGTACTGAAGTAACACTCACTGTATTGCTCTGCCATAGAAACAAAACAAAAAAAAATCCCAATTTAGAACACTGAAAACCCTAATTGCCATGATATTGCAGCTGTTTAGAATCTCACCGGTCGTGTTGAAGCGGCGGCGTACAAATTCCCGAATTTGGCGGAGTTACAACCGAGCCATACATAAATCTACACAAAATTCCAAAATTAAACCAATATTTTAGTTCCGATAAAGAGCGAAGACATGAGAATTAGGTTACAAAGATCAAAGCAAGTTATTGGCGGGAACCTGTTTCGCGAGACGGATGATCTGGAACTGGATAGTGACATCATCGAAAACTTCAGTGAAGCACGAGACTTTTACACCGTCTCTATCACTGACTACGTCGCCGGAATCTTCGGTCTGGTCGGCGATGTTCACCTGAGAAACGGAGCGAAGAACTTGGTCGTATCCAGTCTCCATCGTCTCTGAAGTCCGAGAGAGAGAAAGAAAGTCTGGTCACCTCTTCTTCATTTTAGTGGGCCGGACCTGAAGTTATGGGGCAAACCCCATCTTAAGGCCCAAACATTATATTGAGCTGGTGGCTGTGGTCCAAAGTCAGCAGCTAGAACAGCGACTCTGCAGCTGCTTTCGTCTCCCGCTGCTTCCACTTCGCCGAGAGATCCTCGTTCCCCGATAATGGATTTGGGAAAACTGAGCCACCTGTCTCTGCTCTTGTGCCCACTTCTTCTATCTTTCCACTTTAAAATAGCAGGGGCCTCCGCCCACATCTACCCCTCGCAGCCCTTCCACGATGTCGGTAATTCTCTCCTCCTCTACGGTGGCAGCGAGGGCATCTTCGCCTCTTCCCGATCTTTCATCAGGTATCCCCTATCATTCATTCTCTTCGCACATTTTCGAGTCTCGTGCTGGATGTACGTCATCCTCCTCCTCACTGGTTCAGGTTTGAGAACATCACTCTCTGGAGGAAAATTACTGATCACCGCCACAGCAATGGGTTAGTCCAAGCAGTGATCTTTGAAGCCTCCGATCGTAACAGTATCGGTGGTTCAGCTTACGGGGGCCAAAGATCTATTTGCTGCACGCCAGATCTGGCCAAGCTTCAAGGTTGTAAGCAGGGTGAGATCATTAGGATTCCTTCTGCACATGACCCTAGATGGCCTATCCTCTTACGTGTCCGCTTCAAAGGAAAACGTCTGTCTGCTAAGATGGAAGACACTGAGATTCTAATCCGCAAGACTGGAATCTATAATCTATTATTCATATCGTGTGATCCACAACTCAAGGGCCTCCAAATGACGGGGAAGACTGTTTGGAAAAATCCCGACGGCTATCTTCCTGGTAGGATGGCTCCACTCATGCATTTCTATATCTATATGTCTCTCGCATATTTGTTGCTCAGTGCCGTCTGGTTCTTCCAGTATTTGAGGTTCCGGATGGATATATTGCCTCTTCAACATTGCATAACTGCGGTCCTTGTTCTCGGATTGCTTGAGATGGTCTTTTGGTACTTGGATTATGCAAATTTTAACAACACGGGGATGAGGCCTTTGGCCCTTACAACATGGGTTGTTACCATTGGTGCGTTCAGAAAGACTGTTTCCCGAATTCTCATACTCTGTGTTTCCATGGGATTTGGGGTTGTCAAATCCACTCTTGGTGGTCTCACTTCTAAAGTCCTCCTTGTTGGAGTTACTTACTTCATAGCTTCTGAGATGCTTGATATAGCTGAGCACGTTGGCATCATTGACGACATGTCTGGAAGATCAAAACTTTTTCTTGTCCTTCCTGACGCTTTCCTGGATGCATTTCTCATATTGTGGATATTTACCTCTCTTTCCAAAACATTGGAACAGTTACAGGTATTTCGTCTTTTCCAAATTAGCAACTCTGTGATCAGACACTGTAAGTTGTAAGGTTTTGTGGCAAGATTCATCAGACTAGCTATAAAATTCTTTATTATTTTTCTTGCGCAGTTGAAGAGGACCTCGGTGAAGTTGGAAATTTACCGCAAGTTCTCAAATGCTCTAGCTGTGATGGTTGTTGCCTCTGTTGCATGGATAGTGTATGAGGTACCATCCTGGGCAAACTCATTCTTGTATGATGCTGATTTAGTAAACTCAAATCTTACTTTTAAGGAGATTAACTGCTCAACTAAAACTGGCGTAGAATTTGAGCTAGGAAAAAAGAAGCTCATTCTTTCTTGGAATATACCCAGCTTTCCTGATGATTTGCCCCCTGCAGGTGTATTTCAAAGCAACAGATCCTTTTAATGAACGATGGCAGACTGCCTGGACTATAACTGCCTTCTGGGATGTTATTGCATTTGTGTTGCTATGTATTATTTGCTATCTCTGGACCCCCTCACAGAACTCCCAAAGGTATATTACATCAACTTAAAAGGTTTTGATACCTCTCCAGCATACCATCAAATAAACTTTTGTTTTGCGAGCTGAGAGTTACTTGCTAGAATGGAAACCGTTTAAGCTGAGCATGAGGTGCTAGTCTTGTGGGAAGTCCTGGCTGCACGCTAGTGTATTGGTCCAGTTTTGCGGTACCTGGATATGACAGGGATACTAACATGAAAATAATGATGGACAGATATGCGTATTCGGGAGACGTGGATGAAGACAACGAGGAAGCTCAATCTCTGACAGTGGGGAGGCAAGATGGTGACATCAGCTTAGTTAAACAAGAGAAGAATGCTGACTCGGACAGGGAAGAAGATGTTGAAGAAGATAAGAGAGAGTGAGGAGAGTCGGTAAAGAAACGGCTAGGCATCACTGTGCTTGATCATGAGCTGAGGGAAGTAGAGAAATATTAGCATGAGGTCGACTATAGCATAAAGCTACGACGTCGTAATACATATATGTGACAAAAAGATAGTAACTGTGTGTTGTATTTTTTTTTTGCTTTTTTGAAGTACAGATATATAAAAAATGTACTATATAAGCAAGCAGTCGATTTCTCCATCTGAGTAATGCAATTGGTTGTTTACTTTGCAGTATATACCCTTATCAAATATCCAACATCTGAGTCATCTAAGCCTTCTTTGTTGAGATCACCGCCTAGAATTTGTTAGAATCGCCTCCACAGGGAAAGAGAGGGTGAAATTTGCTTAAAATGCTGTAAAAACTAATTATATTTATCGGTGGTTGAAAACTTAAGATTGGTATATTGTGACTCTGAGCATTATTAATTCGTCAATACTGTCCGGACGCGGAAACAGGGTCGCTCGCTCTTTCTCTCTCTCTCTCTCTCTCTCTTTCTCTTGTTGTGAGCTGAGCTTCACCACCGCCAGTACAGATTACAGATTGCAGATTGAAGTGAGAGTGGGAAAGGGAGAGGGAGCTTCCTGCTTTCACTTATATATTATTATGCCGCCTCCTTCTAGTTCTAGTTCTAGTTTTAGAGCAGGTCTCAACGGCGAGATCGGACATGGTCGTCCTCCGATCGCTGCTCAGAGCCAGCAGCAGTATTACCGGAGCTACTCGTCGTCGTCGGCGTCGCTGAAGGGATGCTGCTGCTGCTTGTTTTTGCTGTTCGCGTTCCTAGCGTTGCTGGTACTGGCGGTGGTGCTCATAGTAATACTGGCGGTGAAGCCGAAGAAACCGCAGTTCGATCTGCAGCAAGTGGCAGTGGTGTACATGGGAATCTCCAACCCTAGCGCTGTTTTGGATCCAACCACGGCCTCCCTCTCCCTCACCATCCGGATGCTCTTCACTGCCGGCAACCCCAACAAGGTCGGAATCAGGTACGGCGAGTCTAGCTTCACGGTGATGTACAAAGGCATGCCACTGGGGAGGGCGACGGTGCCCGGATTCTACCAGGATGCGCACAGTACGAGGAACGTGGAGGCCACCATCTCCGTCGATAGAGTCAATCTTATGCAAGCCCACGCCGCCGATCTCGTCAGAGACGCTTCCTTGAACGACCGAGTGGACCTCACAGTCCGCGGAGACGTTGGCGCTAAGATCCGAGTCATGAATTTCGATTCACCGGGGGTTCAGGTTCTCCATCTTCTTCTTCCTTCTTTTCGCCACGATTCGTTTGCTCGGGGATCTGGCCTAGCTAGACTAGTGTGAACACTCTTGAAAAACCAACTTTTACTATTTACTATTTACTATTTACCACACACACAGAGTAGTTAAAAAAAAAAAAAGAAGGATTGCGGGTAAAAAATAAAAAATAATAATAATAAAGGAAAGAAAGTTGTTATTGTTAAGTTAATAGATTCCTTTATACCACTAGTCATGCTCTGTCCCCACTCTGCTTTCCTTTTCGCCTTTGCTTCTCCTTCACTTTTGATATTTTCTAGGATCCACGTACGTATGCGTATGCCACCACCTAAAAGCTAAATCATCTATGTACTGTATGTGTGTATCTATCTTGAGTTTTCACTGGTGTATTGATTAATACATGTATCATGTATGTACCTCTCTCTCTCTCATTTATATGTAGACTGATGCTTAAACGAACAATGCATTGCGCAGGTATCCGTGAACTGCGGGATAGGCATTAGTCCCAGAAAGCAAGCTCTCATTTACAAACAATGTGGCTTTGATGGCCTCAGCGTTTAATTCCAAACTGTAACATAATATTATATATATATTCCCACTGACCACTCCCAACCTGCGAGAGGAGCTGCAAAAAGATTACAAGATCCCAGCCAAACTGGTTAAGTAAAGAAATGGGAACAAGATCCATCCTTCCCCTGCTTCGCTTCTTTGGGAAATTTTGTTTGTACAAGCTAAATTTGCATTTCTTTACCAAAGTTACTAAATCACTCAGTAATTTACTCACGCTGCAATCCCTTGGCCAATCTAAGGAGCATTTGTTTCTGTTGATCAATTATATAACTATATATCATAGTGTTGTGTGTGATTTATGTGAAGTTTGTTCTGAAAAAACTCTGGCAGATCCACTCTTTGTGTTTGGTTGAATCGACGAGTGCATCACGTGCTGCTTCCTTACTTTATCAAAAAAATAAGATATCTAAGTTGAAATGAACTGCTCCAGAATTGACAGGTGTTATAGATGGCTTTTAATATTGATATCCTTGTTCCGTTACAATGCGATAATGGATGGCCTGGCATTCATTTGATGGTAACGGAATAAACAAAGCACTCTCAGAATACTAATAATTACTTGGCCAATATGCGACTTCTCTATCGACTATGTTGTATTAGTTTGGCTCTCTCCCTTTTCTTGCGTTGCATAAATCTTGAGGAGCTGTGTATGCTCGTAAGAGTTGTATAGTAAAATGGGATAGTTAGCTACATCTCCTAAACAGCCCTACATTGACAGCAAGTTGCTGCGTCATAATCATGAACGTATTATTGGCTAACGGGCCATTCCTTACTTTGGTTTGCTTATCTAACACTCCATGGTGTTACTCGAATGATCACAGGGCAGAAGAAGAAGCTGTTGATCAGGAAAGATACTTTGAGGAATCTTGCAAACCAAAATGTGTGAAGCCCCTACTTAAAATATCAGGTGAATGCAAATACATACAACTTGAGCTGTCATTACTCATAACTTTGATTTACTTTTGACCTAAGCGGGGTGATTGCTATTGGTGCTACTTATCTCACATGGCTTGGGCGCGGCTCAACTTTAACATATTTTTATTGTGGCTCAGGAGTGTGTCAAGACTCAAGAGGATCCAAGATGATGAATCTGGCCACAAACATTGAACTGGGCAGTATTTTCATTACTGGCACTGTGTTGCCAAATGTGTAATATTTTGATACAGGCCACAAATATTTTGATTAAAGTATTTGAGTAATGCTACACCTAGAGTTTCATTCTATGATGAAAATCGTATTGTTGATCTGCAGGTCGAACCTAAGCTGTTGGCGAAACTAAAAGGACAAGACAGCAAATTACTCCGTGTCTTGTTTTATTTCTTTTCCCGGGTTAAATAAAAAGGATGTGGATGCTGAACATTACTGCAAACCAGATTGCAGGGGCTCCCTGTCGGGGCTGTTTCTCTGGAAAACTGCGAATTCGATGTTTTCGTGGTTGCGGGAACATTTATGAGTTTCTCATTTATGCCTAATAATAACAAGAAGAAGAAGAAGAAAAAAGGAGAATCCGGTTCTATCTATCTTCTATAGGTCTAGTACATTCAACTGTTTGGTATGAAATCGTTGAATAATTAATTCAAAGCACGTTTGTGTTGATGGAGTCTACCATATATTTAGTAGGTGACCAAATCCAATCATTTCATTGAGAGAGGTAAGATAGATCTCTTAATGGCCTCCCTCCAAATTCCTAGTGTACACACAAGACAGGGAACATTAACAAAACGGCACGCTGTGGTTTCATCGTGTGCATAAACGGCACGCAAGCCAGATGCGTTTGTTTATAAATATATATTTAGAGCACAAGAGTGAAAAATACGAGACTAGACGAACCGAACCGTCATATTCTCTCAAAAGAAGCGAAGCCCTAGCGTCAGTTCCTTTCCTTAGGGTAAGCTCTCTCTCTCTCTCAGATTTCAGATCTCCTAATTTTAAATCAAGATTAGCCTTACCACACACGGATCATCATCGATCTTTTAGATCTGTGTTCCGATTTCCCCTTATAGCGTCTTGGGTTCTCCGATCGGTTGATTTGTCATCGTCTCTAGGTTATCGTAGACTTTCTGATGTTTAGTTGATATGTTGCTAAATGTTACTTGCGCCTCTTTTTCAGATTCGTAATCTGCTGTTGTGTGCTTGCCTCTCCTCTTTGGCTTATCATACCTCTCACTCGCATCAGGTAAGAAGTTTGGTTCAGATTTAGTGAGGCTCATCGCTTTAGTTTCAAAGCTTAATTAGCTCTTTTGGGGTCTTTGCGTTGGTTATTATTAGATGTTGGAATACCCTAATAGCAACAACTGAATTCTGTGTTGATAGTGTAGTTAGTGATTGATTTTTAGCCTCATTAATTGTTTGATGGAACAGCTGATGGAATAGCATCAACTGCAATTTAGCTGCAAGTGTCTTGTTTATTCATCATGTATAGACACCATAATTACTCACTCTCTGTGCTTTTGGCATCATGAACTCTTTGATGGAAGAGCTAACATTGTTTTTTTCTTCTCTTTTGTGAGATGCACTTTTGGTTATCATCATACCAAAATGCAGATTTTCAGTTGCGCTTTCAATCCAAATGGACTGCAAGAAGTTCATCCAGATGGTCGAGGAGAAGAAACGAAGAGTTCTAGAGAAGAAAGAAGCTCCTCTGAAATGGGAGCAGAAGCTAGAGGCGGCTGCCAATGCTAAAGCTGACTCAGAAACCAAAGTAAAGAAGTCAAAGGTCACTAAAAGAAAACAAAAGGGTGCGTATGAATCTAGCTCGGATAGTGATAGTAGCTCTGAAGTGAGAAGAAAGTCTAGAAGATCTCGCCATAAGCACCGGAGACATGCACACTTTGATTCAGATGACAATGATAGGAGGAAAGAGAAGAAATCCAGGAGGCAGAAAAGAAGGTCCTTGAATCCAAGCGATCAGAGCAGTGATGAGTATGAAAGCAGGTCTGAGGATGAGCTGAGGATGAAGATAAGGCACCATCAGAGGCACAAGTCGCATAGCTCAAGAAAGACTTTTGATGATGACAATACCGAAGATGTGAGAAGAAGATATTTAAAGCACCACAGGCGCAGTGAGGTGGTCACTTCAAGTGATAGTGAGGAAGACACTGGAAGAAGAAGGCCAGGCAAATATCACAGGTACGTCAGAGGTTCAGCCTCATCGAGTGGCTCGGAAGATAGTGGGAAGAGTAGGAAGAGAAGGCAACATAAAAGGCACTGTTTGGCAGACTCTTCAAGTGAGGACAATGGAGCAATGAGAAGGAGGCATCATCAACATGACAGAGATTCAGCATTGGACTCTGATGGAGGAATGTTACCAGATGAGAAAAGAGAGCACAATCTCAACAAATGAAAATGGGAATTGTATTTGTTTAATTCACTTCATAAGAGCTAAACCATTTGTACACTATTTCTACCCAGATGTTGGGATCCAATGAATGATGAATATTGCACTCTTTTAGATTTTCATTTTGCATTTGTCGCAAGAGGAGTAAACAAAAAATTGAACTCTGATGTGTGTAGAAGACGGTCATTGTTTTGATTATTTCCTCATATTGCAAATCATCTTTAGATTTTGATGTCTTCATCATATATCCTGGTGGTCCAATTTGAATGTTCTGTTTATTATTTTGGTTTTTGGATATGGAATCAATTGTATGTTTCATGGGGTGCAGCACACATAGCCAATGGCAATGCAGCATCTAGAGACTAGACTTTCATTTCATGAATATCATGAATCATATAATCGACTGTAAATGCCCTGCCCTTAAACTTGTTGCTAAATTTGTACATCCAAAGAAGATAATAATCAGAAAAACACTTTGGGTACCAAACTGTGGTCTCATGCATGGAAAGTGTGATATCATATACTCTACAAGATAACATGATTTATTTGTCTTTGAACAACCAAGTTTCTCACCGACCTGTGAGCTTGACCATCCATGCACCACCCAAGTAGAGCCCTAGAAGCGGTGTTGCTAGGAGCATTTGAGTGACAGGGTCTGTCGAGGGTGTGACTACAGCTGCTGCAACCACCGCACCTACCACCACGTATCTCCAAATTGATAGCATTTGATCTCCTGACACCACCCCTACTTGTCCCAGGAGTAACTGAATGACTGGAACCTGTAAACCAACAACAAGCAGCTAAATTCCAGGTGAAGATGGCTAAAGCAATGTTTTAGAACAAGTATATAATCATTGCCACATACCTGGAAAGACAGTCCCGTGCTGAACATAAGTACTAAGACAAACTCAAAGTACTGGTCGATAGACCACAGAGATTCTACCACACCTTCAGCGTAATTCACAAAGAAATTCAAGGCTGCAGGGGTTAAAACCCAGTAGGAGAAGGCAAGTCCAGCATAGAAGAGCAAGGAGGAACCAAACACAATTGGCCCCAGAAACCTTCTCTCAGCCCGTGTCAGACCGGGAAGGACAAAAGCTATAATTTCATACAGGATCACTGGGCTCCCTAGTAGAAGCCCGCAATAACCAGAGACCTGCACGGCAAAACAACAACAAAAAAACAAAAATCATCATTTTATTAAGATGCAGATGCCTCTATCTATCTATCAATTATGACCATTAGCTAGTTGAAGACCTTTAAAGTTGTAAAGAAAAATTCGCCTGGAGCAAGCTGCAGAAACCGCACACCCTGAGTTTTGACGGGAGCTTCAAGAAAAACAATAAGATCTTTGGAGAAGGCAAAGCACCCCAAGATTGCAGCCCCCACAGCCAAAACCGAGACAAATATCCTCTCCCGGAGCTCCTCGAGATGATCGAATATAGTCATTTCTTTGTCATCAGGGAGCTCCTCTTTACGGGGATAGAGAAACTCATAAACCGAACTTGCTCTATCTTCTTGCTCAATGGATGCATCTGCCACAGTTGTGTAATCCATCAATAACTATATCAACCCGGGAAGCTGAAAAGGGTGACTCTCGAGACCAACACTATACAAATCAATCAAGAAACTGGAGGCTCTCCTATTACCTGGTGGTCTGTCTTCTACAGCAGAGCCAACTCCGGGGGTGGTCTCCGTTGGTAAATCGTCAGAATTATCATCCAGAGCAGCCAAGCGAACCACCCGGCCAAAGCCTTTGCTCGGGCGCTGAGTCACAGAGCATCGGAGTCCAGCTTCCGTCCACGAATTGCAGAAATTTACAGAGTGAGGACGCTTTGTTGGCGAACCCAAGTTGCGAGTGGTGAGGCGGAAATGGTGGATCAAAGCAGAACTGGTGGTGCTTGTGCTGCCCATCTCTAGAATCCTCTCGAATGTTTTGCAAGAGCTTCAGAGAACGATTGGTTCAGCTCGAGTCTCCTTCCTTGCCCACATTTGATATTTTCCAAAACCCAATCCTTTTTTTCTATTTTTTCTGCTGTTAGTTAAACACTTCCGTCACAAACTTGCCATCACGGTGTAAGACGGCCTCGTTTAGGAGAAAACAAGGTAGCTTTGTTTGGGCCTTGCCATCATGACGCTTGATTGTTGGAAATAGCCCATTAAGGCCCATACAGTTCATTTGTTTTTTTATACACCTGTGTGGGTGATGAATGGTTTCACCAGAGTGAGAGGGCTTGCCTGCGTAATTTTCCCGCCAGGTTGGGTTTCCGATGGACAAAGAGACTCCGGCGGAGAAATCCCTAAATCTGATTCGCGGGAGACTGTGCGCTCCTAGTTTCGTCTTTAGACCTCTTTGCGCTTCGTCAGACAGCAATTACAGGTCTAATTGCTTCGCTTGGTATAACGAATTCGATTCTATTGCTTACCCTAATACAAAATTCGTCTTAACACACAGTAAGTTGAAGTTCATTGTATCAACCTCCATCACGGAGGGATGCAACAATTCGATCTTGCTTCTCGGCCCTCGCGGCTCTGGAAAAGCTGCTGTATGGCTCCCCCTCGAACCCTGCGTCTTCTACTCTCTCTCTCTCTCTCCCCTCCCGTCTCCGTTCTTGGCGTTTGATTTGTTATTTTTGAATGGGTTGATTTCAGGTCTTGGATCTCGTTGTAGGTGATTTGTTGCAGGAGTTTCCTGATTCAGTATCAGTAGTATGTGTGATTTCTAGTACATTTGGAACCATCTCATCTCATCTTTTATCGTATCTTACTACCATCTCAATATGATGCAGATCAGATTGAATGGACTCTTGCATAGTGATGATAACTGTGCATTTAAGGTCTGATCCCTTGATGTATCTAGCATTCTTAATTTCTTAAGGTACACACCTGATATACTCACCGACTTACATTGCTTTTCAGGAAATTGCCAGACAATTGTGCATGGAACACCACCTGCTCTTCTCCAAAATGGTTTGCCATTGTTCTCTCCAAATGTTCTATTTTCTCTTACAATTTAGTCAATGTCTCAATTGGCTTGATTCTTCCAGGCATCATTGGATGAGAATTCACAGTTCATAGTAGCCATGTTGCGGTGAGTGTATTCACCTTGACATATCCAGCCTTTTTACTATGTTGATTTCTAACGCAGACAAACTGATAGAGCTATTTCAGGGAATGTGGACTAGCACATAAGACAATCATCTTTGTGCTTGATGAATTTGACATGTTTGCACAGGCAAGCATTATGATTTCTTTTAACTTGCTAATTGCATTGTTAGTCGTTTTCCCTATATTTAAGTTACTTTTTTTACTTACCAACATGGATGCCATCCTAAGTTTGAGAGGTCGAGCAAAACCTTTGACATACAAAGAAATTGGACATTAGTGTTTTCTATTCACTCACCATATTATCTGGTTCTGTATAGGGGAAGCAGCGGTTGCTATACAGTTTACTGGATGCTATGCAATCTGTAACATCACAAGCTGTTGTCATTGGTATTAGTTCTCGATTGGTATGACCATGCCTATATAGATATACATGTTTTGGGTTTTACAAATTGTTTCTTGTAAATTGATCATTCTAGAACTGTGTATTGTTTATGTTTGATGACAGCTGACTTTGGTTGTTGTTAACTGTACTCAAAATCTTATAATATGCAATCTCCCACCACAGGACGCTGACCAACTTCTGGAGAAAAGAGTGAGATCTCGCTTTTCACACAGAAAAATTTTGTTTCTTCCTCCATCCAGGGAAGAATTTGACGGGTAATGAGCAGCTTCTTTTGTTGATAACCTTCTTTTCTATTGTAATCAGTCAACTATTTTCCAATGAGCTTATTTAATTAATAGGAACTATATATTTCTAGTTTGTTGGAACATCTGCTGTCTCTACCAGCAGACTCAAGCTTCCCGAGTGGATATGTTTCTCGGTTCAATGAAAAGATTAAGGTTCTAATATTCACTCCCAATTAGTACTATGACATGCTTAGCTTTTATATGATGTTAATTCTTTTTCTGAAGAACGGATACTTTTACCAATTTCAAAAAACAAAAAAAAAAACACCTTCTGTGCAGAATATAAAATCAGATACGAGATTTAAAGACATACTCAGGACATTATTTAATGCCAATTCTACCATGAACAGTCTGCTGAAGTTTATGTAAGTTTTTCGATTACAATAGTGAGATGTTTCCTTAAGATGTTATTTCCTCTGTGTTGAGTCTATCTCTTGATGTTAGATTCCGCGCTGTTTCTTTAATGAATTTGGAATCTGGCCTCCTCTCTCTTGAGAACTTCAAAGCAGCACTTTCAAGTATGCAAAGGCAACCAAAGTTGGAAGCCGTTAGAGGTATTATAAGCTGACTTATGAGGAAAATGTTTCGCGAAGCTGCGGTGTTGCTTATACATTTTCCTAGGAACATCAGTTGACATTATCTTTGTTGAGCAGATTGCTCCATACTGGAGCTTTATCTCCTGGTATGTATGAGGAGGTTAGAAGTGAAGGAGCAAAGGTCATACAACTTCATCAGTGTGATGAAAGGTAATCTGTAAGTTTGGCTTAAGAGAAAATGCAGGTTGCACCACTATGAAAATGATTTGAGATTTCATGTGTGTTCCAGAGTATAAGACGATACACGATTCTTTTCAAACCTCGGACTACTACGCCCAAAATGTCTGCCTACGGGTATGTTTATAGCTCTCATGAGATGCCATAGTTTATATGTGGTGGTCTAAATGGTTGACATGACAGGCATTTGAGCATCTAAGAGAGCGACAAGTTACATGCTACGCGGAGAACAGAGGACAGACTCAGACAGGTGAGTACCGTCCCATGAAGCTTTTGATATCAGCCTCTGAGCTTCATCAGGGAATGAGATCTCATGCGTGTTGCCCCGTAAGCCTCCTTTTTCATCTATACCCTCCTTTTCTTCTCTTTACTTTTGTAAAATTATTTCAACTTCGTGATATATATTTTTCCCCGCTGGAACAGGCCATCCTTCTCAAGTTACTGGATCATTGATGTCTTGTGTTTCTGTTCCTTGGGGATACGACAGTCTCTGAAGGCCTCGTAATATGTAATATTATTTCATGGTAAAAGCAACATGGTTTAGAAACAGTATCTTTAGTTTTGCTAAAGTGTTTTGTCCACCTACCATTTATATGTATATATAATGGGAGAGAGCATGTCAACACAATA